GATGCCCAAAGTAACTCCCCAATAACATTTTCTGGAATTTGGTCAAATATGCATAGCGATTAATTGCAAGTGGATCGCATTCTACTTTGAAGGGAACACTCACTAAGACGTTTTTTTGGTTGCACAGAAATCCACTTTGGTTTACAAACTGATTGAACTATATGATTAGGGGAATTACAAAAAACATTTCCGCATGACTTCAGTAATCTCGGGGTTTACTTAGCAGAGCGGAAATGTGTTCATAGGTAATTGTAATATCCAATGTTGCAAAAGAAACCTGATGTAATTCATTTACTTCCGTCTGTTACTCGCAAAGAAGCTAGGCAGTCTACCAGCATTCTCCAACTTATTATGTCCTCGGCCTTCCCTTCCAGTTCTACACAACTGCTATTTATGATTTTTATATCTGTCTCTAATTGTCCGTGGAGTGTGATCCTTGGGCCACCCCTGGTCCTTTATTCTTGGGGGTCCCAAGGTTCAGCCTGAATCATGATCCCAATGAGTAATTTCCGAGATATGTGTCCTGTCCACCTCCTACGCTTCTTCTTAATTTCTTCCTCAGCTACAACCTAGTTGGTCCTCTGCCACAGTGGGTTATTACTGATTGTGCCTGGGGAAGCGACCTAAAAATATCTTGCGTAGACAACTCTTTATATACACCCGTATCTTGTAAATGATGTCTTTCGTGATTCTCCAGGTTTCCGCACCATATTGTAGAACTGTCATGTCTAGCTCAGAGGGCTCTTTCCATTCGACTTCTTCCCTTGTCAATCATTCGTTAATATCCGCGTTGCTTTTATTCGTGTGTGTGCTTGCCTATCTCTCTAATTACATTTCTGGTTTATTATTGTCTGACTAAAAATTCCTAGTCATGATTCACCGAAATGGAGTTGACTCACTCGCCTTCTCTACAGCACTTTGCTTCGCTCTGACTGTATGCTCTTCGTTATCATGTCTGGGTTAACATTTTACTGAAATAAACTCATCCAACCTAATCCACATTTGGCTTCTTATAACTGCCGTCGCACAAACGGGGTTCATCTAAGTATAATATACGGAAACTGATGGAGAGCATTATTGCATAGCACAGTTAAATGTTCGCGGGTCACCAAAGTAGTAAGCTCTACATCGAATAAAATATCGCAACAAACCCTACAATACCTACGCCTACTCCACCAAAAATTGAAAACAGACCCAGTGAGACTACTATTCCAAGATCTGTTTCACAAACAAAAGACATGACGACTTGTCCTGAGTTCAAACACGCACCCCCGGCAGTACTTCAGTATTGCCATAGCTATACCAGAAAAGACCTAGCGACTCCGCTTAACAGAAGTTCTCCTAGGAAACATGCTACACGCTGTGACCGTCTGCCAACAGTACTTACTCATTTAGTGAGCAACAACACCTGACCACTACTACCTCCACTCAAGATATTAGTAAACTTTTTTAAGTAGATCCTACTCCCTCTTCTTCTCCACATAATAGAGCCAATTACCCACCTGATGCCCACCATGTCTCTCCAAACGATTAGTCTTCACCCTATGTAAAACTGATGCTAAGTAATTCCTTATCTTTAATCAATAAGATGACTAATCTACGCTCCCTGTTAGTTTTAAACAACCCTTCGCTTGTCCTGATTAAAGTTGGTCGGCCTCCTATGTTAGAGACTCATGCCGTCTAATAGACACCTATGAACACTTTCGCTGTGATCGAGACTCTCGAAAAGGGTTGTATTTGCTTCATGTATGTGTCTAGAAGCATCAACGGAGAAATGCTTAGTGAGACTGACCTTAATTGAGAGTCTGATTCTATATGGCCTACTGTACAAGCCTATGATTATAAAATACTGGTTGGATGTACATATAGAGCTCCGAACACTCATCGATCGTTTGAAATTGCTACTGGTGAGTTATTTGCCACGGCTGCCAATATCCTTTCCAAAATGTCTTTCAAAACAATGAATCAGTGTATTACCCAAAACGCCAGGGGTAATCTACGAAAACGGACATTTTGCAAATCAAAGTACTTCAGCATCCTGAGCAAAATCTACGCCGTACTTGAGGGTGTCAGCATGAAGGGCCTAGATAAACAGATGAACGTAATGCACTCTCTCCTGCCTATCAATCCAAAAATCTCAGTGGTCTGCGTAAAAAATGCATCGAAAAGAACGCAGTTCAAAACATCCATTCTATACTATATGAAGGAGAGATTTGTGTAGACCAAACTGTTATTTGTGAACTTTTCAATCCATACTTCAGAACATACCTTTATCTCAGCTTTTGATCTTAATCGTGTTGGGAAAAATAATTTCGATACCGTCAATCGTGACCTTAACAATATTCATGTCGCCATTAGAAACCTCAAACCCAACCCAAGCTGAGGTGCAGAAGAAATACCATCCATACTCTTTGAAATCAAATATGCTGGCACTATTGCTAAAAATATCCGAACAATCCCAAGAAGTTGTTTCCTTTCCCCCGAAGCCTGGAAATCAGCTCATGCTGTCCCTAAACAAAAAATTGGGGTCGTAAAACGAAATCCAGAACTACAGACCAATCAATAACACCCTAGTTGGTTCAAGCGTAATGAAGAAAATGATATAAGATAATGTATCTGATCACTTACCCAGGGAGGGTCATATTAAACCCTCAAAACACAGAATTATTAGAACTAGGTCATGCACTACAAGTCTGATAGATTACTTTAACGAGGTTACCAGCATACGCGATCAAAAGCAACTAGTGGTCATGTTGTATCTTAACATCAAGAAGGCTTTATATAAGGTACCTCACAATCTCTAAATCAACAGAATTCCGTGCATCGGGATTAACGGCCCCATATTGCAATGGATTAAGTCTTTTCTCACTAATAGATAATAAATTACTAAAGTTAACTGCATTAAATCTTCACCTCGACCAATTACCGGTGGTTTTGTGCAGGTTGTGTCTTCCGTCCAATGTTTTTCACAACCCACATCAACAGCAAATGCAGTTTCTTCAACACTGGCATAGCCTACCTCTACGCTTATGACCTGAAATTCGTATTTAAAGCTAACAAATGTGACAGGAAATTTTACGCAAACGATTCAAAATGAACTCACTAATTAAGGTAACTCGACAAGGCTTTGGAACATCAAACTCATTACTGAGAAATGTGGCTGGCTGTGATTTGGAGACACATTTGTCAAAGTAAATCTCACTGTTAGCAAGAATGTGCTGCCTAAACTCACATCGGCAAATGATCTGGGAGTGCACTGCTCGCAGAGCCTAAACTTCTCTGAACATATTTCCAACAAAGTTTCTGAAATGGGAAAAATGCTAGGTCACATTTTTCGTAGCTTTCTTCTTAGAGAATCCAGAACAATTCTCGACAAAACAAGTGCTGAATACTGCACATTCTTATTTTCCTTATTACGCCTATCTGGTATACTGAAAGTGGAAGGAAAACAACGGAATTTAACTACTTAAATATTAAACTCATCTCACTCGCTGATTATCCTACCCGATGTCATGACTTTGGACATGGACAACTATGGAAAAGAATGTTAGTTATTTTCATAACCAATTGTAGTTATGTCATAACTAACCAATCAGATTGTGGTTTATGCGCCTACCATGTGATCTGGTCTGACGTATCTGTAAACCATTTTTGTAGTGAATGACCTACGAATCAGATGTCATTATTATCTTATTATATTGATGTGACTCATGGTTTTATTCACTTCCATAAGACACGCTATATTGGTCGGTATGTTTGCTCGTCTTACTTGATAATTGTAATTTCCTTATTTATTGTACTAATTTAATTGTTTTTATGTTTTGAAACAGATAAAGTTTAAAGCAAAGTTGATTGTATTTTAACTGTAGCTTTCCCATAGACTCTGTGCTCGCCAATATCGCGTTTACCGTTCTAGAATTACATCTGTAGGACAAATTAAATCCTACACAGAATGCTTAAGTTCAGTCTAATCCTGTACTTCAAGCTCCTTTACAAGCCCACATACTCCTGTTGTAGTTTTGTTCTTATCGAAAGCCAAAAGTTCGGGAGAAAGTATCTGCGGTTAAACTTGAGAAGTATAAATCAAAAACTTGAGAAAACTTCCACACTAAATGAAGAAATGCCCTACCTCGAAAATAGGCATGTCAGATGGACCACGTACTTTTGTAAAGCACCTTAATGGGGCCTTCAGTTGCACTGATTTCTCTTAACGCGTGAACCCATCAAAAACGTGATCTCACATTAATAGCTTTTAGCGGTGATCGAGTCGTGATTGACTATGATCACCGCTAAATACAACGATCGTAATATACCTGTTGGCTGTTCTTCAGTACTGATGACTGTTTCGACTTCCTGGTTCTTCATTGGTCTTCCTGGCTTATAATATTTCCCAGCGAGCTTCTTCATCGGATCCTATATTTGTCTCATGCCTCCACTGCCTTTTCCTCCGTCACTGATAGATCTTCCACATATTTATTTTTTTCAACTCTGATGAGTCTCTTCGCTTGCTTGTTTGCTTTTGTGTATTCAGATAGTGCAGAGGCTTTCTGATGTTAACTGCAGCCTTCCTATTCCCCCTGAATATTATTAAGAGTATCCAAAGTGATCCACTCCTTTTGACGATAGTCGTTCTGGTCCGAAAGCATATGATATGTTGAATTTATTACTTCCTTGAGGCCTTTCCAGGTTGTTCTTCATACTAGTTTCCTCTCCATTGGGTTGGTGGTAAAACGATTTGAAATTGAATTTGTTGATTTTAACAGTATTCTGAAGGAAGGCCATATTGTGATGCTGTTCTCCTCGTTGTCCAGTGCTTCTTTAGTTTGTTTCATCTTGACTATCACCAAGTGATGATCTGGAGCCATGTCGACTCCTCTCTTTGTCCTCCATCGTCCTACTGGACTTTTTAAGCTACTACCAAACACATGGAACCGTACCGTACGAATAAGAACCGAGCGCAAAAAATTAATTAGATAATACTAGCGCGTGAAGAAGATATTCGATATTGGACTTCTGCAGTATTCAACTGTTGCGTTACTCTTGGGCAAATCATGTTACCATCTGCACATACCATATTAGCCCCGTATGTACAGAAAAAGGAAGCTATAAATGTTTGGGACAGTTATAAAGTCAGTTGAAAGACGTTATGGGCAAGTTTTTAGAATGGAAAATCATTTAAACTTGGACGTCGAATTAACTCAGTTGCAATTTCTTTAACACCTCCTTACAAGTATGGTCTTCCGGATGGATACAATGTACGTGTTTTTAGTTATTTTTCTATTAACTATTCCAGGTGAATCTTTACAAGTGTGACACTGACAAACGTTTTCGCAAATTGAGTGGATTTTCAGGTCTAGTAACGTGCTGTAATTTCAGAAATGATGGGAAACTAGTTATTGTGGGTGAAGCCGGTGGAACGCTTCGTATTTGTACTACGGACAAAAACAAGTTTCATCTTCGAAAAATAAAAGCACATCAGGGGTATGTGTAATCTTTTGTTTGTAATTTTGTAGTTCAGTTTCGGCAGCTTCATTTTTTTATGATGGTTTACATGCAGCTAGTCTTGGATCAGATGCAAACGTCCGCATTTGGGACGTAACATTGGGCTCTCCGCTAGGGCGTTATGCAGTGTGCTGTGGAAACGAAGTTGCTCGTTGTTTGGTAACTGGTAGAGTCGACAATAATCTCTTATGCTTTGGTGATCTTAATGGGAACGTTGTCATCTGTGATGTGCGTGAGGTAAGACTTTGAACAGTTTTCAAACTTTCGAACATCATTAACTTTTCTTGATATACGTTCAGAGTGTAACTGATATCATCTGCACCAATCTTTGGAAATTATTTCATTGTCCCGTTTTCGTACTATGCGGTTTTACTGAGATATTTCAAAAATCCTAATCATTTCTAAAAGATATAAATTTTTTTGTTACTAAAGTATTTAAACCTTTAGATTGAACAATAGTGTTTACTTAAAGTTACCTAGAGATCAGTTAGTCACATGGGAGGATGTGCGGATATGAGATCGGTACACTTAAGTCAGTCAGTCAGTCAGATGCAACATCGAACTTCGTACGTAAGTACATCAGTTCAGGTTGACATACCACATCAGCCCAGAGACGTAATTGTCAATTCAAATCCCATAGTGGTAGAGATTGTAAAAGAATTACTACTAATGGAGAACCTTTGGATTTGAAGATAATATTCAAGAAGCATAATTCAGTGAGATAAGTTGAGAAAGACGAAGATAGAGGTGTTGACGAATCAGAAGATTAGGATTTGAGAGAACATAAAGAGTGGATTCACCTGCACCTTTGTAAACAATTTTGAGCCATGTCATTCAAGGTCTCTAACCATCGGTTACTATCGTCTCGCGGACCCCAACCAGGTAGTCTACATCTACCGACATGACTCAGTCCACCCGCAGTGACTTCATGCATTCGTGCCATGTTTTGGTTTGGCCGCCCCTAACTTTCTTCCAACCTACTACTACACTACAGAACAAAGCTCATCGAGGAAGTCGGTAGTTAGGCGTTCGTAACATATGTCCCACCCACCTCAACTGATGAAGTTTCACAATTTCATCTATTAGGCTGCCATCCTTATCTAGTACTCGTTTCATAACGACAGCATTGCTTATACGGTTGTCGCAGAATACACGAGCAATGCTTTTAAGACATCTGTGGTTGAATACCAGTAACCTACGAATATCTTCTACACTTATCTCGCCTATATATATATATATATATATATATATATATATATATATATATATCGCCTCCGCCATAAGGCACACATGAGGCTGTTGGGACATGTGTTACGTATGGCTAACCACCGACTGCCTCGACGAGCTTTGTTCTGTAGTGTAGTAGTAGGATGGAAGAAAGTTAGGGGCGGCCAAACCAAAACATGGCAGAAATCCATGAAGTCACTGCGGGTGAACTGAGTCATGTTGGTAGATGTATGTTACCTGGTTGGGGTCCGCGAGACGAAAGTCACCAATGGTTAGAGACCTTGAACGACATGGCTCAGAATCGTTTGCAATGACGCAAGTGCATCCACTCTTTGCATTTTATGAAATTCTAAGCTTCTACATTCCTCATAATCTCTATCTTTCTCCTTCTAAATTTATCTTACTGAATTATACTTCTCGAATCATATCTTCGCCCTCTAATCTTCTCCATTACTGCTAATACTTCTATTATTGCTATCACTGTTGGATTTGAACTGACAGTTGCGTCTCTGTGCTGATGGGGCATGGCAACCTGAACTGATGTACTTACGTACGAAGTTCTGCGTTGCATCTGTCTGTCTGTCTTTTGCCATAAATGACGTAAATTGGCTAAAGCCATTAGAGCTTTCTGTATCCGTGCTGAGATTTCGTCAGTCACCAGCACTGATGGGACTCCCGAGATAAGTAAGGAGGTCGACACGCTCGACTACTTCACTCTCTATCACCAGTTCAGGTGCCGATGCAACCAAGTCTTGAAGCAACATTTTGCATTTCGAGTGTGAGAACCGCATCCCGAACATGCTTGCATTGTTGCCTAGGGTATTCAGAAGACTGCATTTTGTCAGCGTCTTCACCGAATAGAACTATGTAATCGGCATATTCTAGGTCAATAAGCGAGCCTCCTGGTAATAGGTCAACTCCTGAAAAATCTGACGAGGATAATGTTAACTCTAAGAGGATGTCTACGACAAAGTTAAACAAAAATGCAGAGAGTGGACATCCCTGACGGACATCACTTGAAGCAGAGAATTCAGATGATAGTTCACCGTAGCTGCCGCTCAGCCAGTGGTGTTCGGGTAGAGTGCTAGTATAAGGTTAGTGTACTTCTCTGGGACATGTTTCAATGACAGACACTGCTACAGAACCTCACGATCCACTGAGTCAAATGCCGCCTTATGGTCCAGGAAGACAACTATTGTCGGACGCCTAAATGTGTGTCTGTGTCCCAGGATCTGTCGTAGTGTGAAAATGTGGTCTGTACAACCACGTCCAGGTCGAAAACCAGCCTGGTTTTCTCTAGTCTGCTCTTCACGAGCTCTAGTTAGGCGTCTCAGTATTATCGAGGCTAACAATTTGGAAACTATATTAGTTAGGCTTATTCCCCTGTGATTGTCACAAGAAGACTTTTATCCTTTCTTATAAATTGAGACAATCAGTGACTGAGACCAGTCGGATGGGATTACTTCCCAGATTCTACCTAAGATGTCAGTCAATCTAGCTGCTTAGACTGGACCACCATCCTTAAAATCCTCAGGCGTCAATCCATCAGGACCCGCCTCTCTCCCCTGCACCAGATTTCTCATAGCTTTTTCAACTTCATAAAGAGTCGGAGGACTTATGTTGATTTGCCGTTCATGATGACTGCAGATCGTGTGCAACTGAAGTGTGGCTGAAGGCCAGTTGAACTGATCCCTGAAGTGTTCTGCCCAACGATCCAATCTTCTTGATTGAGAATGAATGATACAGCCATCCTTTTCCGAGATAGTTTCATTTGCAGTCGGATTTCTAATACCTGTTTCCTTGATAAGTCGGAAAAGTTGTCTAGTGTTGCCTATCGTCGCTGCCTTCTCCATATCTTTTGCTTTCGCCACCCACCACTGTTTACGGTCGTTTCATAGGCTTTTTATCAGTCTGCGCCTAAGCTGACTTCGTTCTTCATCATGTTCAGAGCCAGGTGGGATGAGGTTTCTAGCATCCATCAGTTCGGTAGATGCTACTGAGATCCACAGCTTCTTCCTAGCCTTATGGTTTACCTTACTAGGAGATATCACCCACGATCTCCAGTCATCCTGAATGGCAAATCGACCTAAGGCCCCCTAGTCTTAATGACGTTGAGAAAGCGTTAGGAAATCTGAAACGAGGACGAGCTGCAGGTCCTGATAGACTTACCCCTGAGATATTTAAGGATGGTGGTCCAATTTTATTAGCTAGGTTGACTGAGATCTTAGGTCGAATCTGGGAACTGGACGTAATCCCATCCGACTGGACTCAATCACTGATTGTCCCAATCTATAAGAATGAACAAAAGTCTTCTTGTGACAATCACAGGGGAAAAAGTCTAACTAATATAGTATCTAAAATATTGGCCTCAATAATACTTCGACGCTTAACTAAAGCTCGTGAACAGCAGACTCGAGAAAACCAGTCAGGTTCTCGACCTGCACGTGATTGTATCGAACACCATTTCACCCTACGACAGGTCCTGGAAAATAGACACACATTTAGGCGTTCTACAATAGTTGTTTTCCTGGACCATAAGGCGGCATTTGACTCAGTGGACCGTGAGGTTCTGTGGCAGTGTCTGTCATTGAGAAGTATACCAAAGAAGTACATTAACCTTATACAAGCCCTTTACTCGAACACCACTGGTCGAGTGAGGGCTTATGGCGAAGTGTCATCTGAATTCTCTACATCAAGTGGTGTCCGTCAGGGATGTTCACTCTCTCCATTTTTGTTTAATTTTATCATAGACATGCTCCTAGAAATAACCTTATGCTCGTCTGAATTTTCAGGAGTAGACCTTCTACTAGGTGGCTCGCTTATTGACTTAGAATATGCCGATGACATTGTCCTACTTGGTGAAGATGCTGACAAAATGCAGAGTCTTCTGACTACCCTAAGCAACAATGCAAGCATGTTCGGGATGCGGTTCTCACCCTCGAAATGCAAAATGTTGCTTCAAGACTGGGTTGCATCGGCACCTGAACTAGTGATAGAGAGTGAAGTAGTCGAGCGTGTAGACCGCCTCACTTACCTTGGGAGTCTCATCAGTGCTGATGACCTGGTGACTGACGAAATCTCAGCACGGATACAGAAGGCTCGATTGGGGTTCTTCAAGTTGCGTCATCTTTGGCGTATGTGAGTTATCTGTCTGTTAACCAAAAGACGAGTCTACTGTGCAGCAATCTGCTTCGTCCTACTTCATGGCTGTGATTCACGGCCTTTAAGATTAGAGGATATTCATAGGTTTTTTTTGATCATAGTTGTCTCCGAACCATTGCTCGTTTATCTTGGTACTATCGAGTAAGCGATGTTGTTGTTAGGAAACGGGTACCAGTTAGGGAAGGCAGATCAATATATGAAGTAGTCAAACTGCCTCGTCTAACTATGTTTTGCAGTATAGGAGTAGGTTGGAATATAGCCAGGGGTAGCGAATCTAAAGCATGGTACAAATCCATGAGTTAACTGGCAATGGGTCTCAGTCATGTTGGTAGATGTAGGCTACCTGGTTTGGGTTCGCGAGACGATAGAAACCGATGGTTAGAGACCTTAAACGACATGGCTCAAAATCGTTTGCAGTGGCGCAGCTGAATGCACTCTCAGATCCTAATCTGAATTCCTCATTACCGTCTTTTCTCTTTTTCTTAATCGATTCCTCTGGGGTATACATCTTTTTGATTACTGCTAATACGTTTACTTCCTCTACTACTGTGGGATTCGAATTGAAAATTGCGTCTCTGTGCTAGTGTGGTGTGGCAGCTTGAACTGATGTACGTACGTACGAAGTTCTACGTTGCATCTGACTGACTGGTCAAGTCTTTAAAAGTTTATTCGGATTTCTTCGGAATTTCATTAAATCAATTAAAAAAGAATGACAAAATAAAACGTTGATCACAAAATTTGGGGGACAAAAGGCAAATGTCCAGCGCTTTAACCGCGTTGGTAGGTAAAGAAGATCTACCTAGGTGAACTGGAAAATCCTGACTCCAGGCTAATGCTGCATATGGACTTCTGGATCCTGATGGAATAAATGACTTGTGAACCTATTCTTTGTCACTGGTTACCATTAGACTGAATATCCTGACGTTCTGCCTTATGGACCAGAATTCTTGATCAAAGTCTCGATAAGTGGCCCCCTAAGATAAAATAGCTGCGTCGGTTTGAGCACTCGGGCAGTATGTCATTCATATTCATTGATTTATGTGGTATATTTACATTTTTGGTGCCATCTTTTGACAGTAATTACGTGTTTAATTATAATACTCGTCCTCAGTACTTTCTAATACGCTGATGGCAACCTTTTGGGTTATAAAATTTTTTAGGAGCGGTGGTGATTGATCACTCCATTTAGTGGATAGGAATGAGTTCTACTATCAAAACGCACTGTAATACTAGTAGTGGTAAAAGGTGGTTGACTAGATGGGAGTCCTGTATTTTGATGAGAAATACCCTAGAATTTTCTATTTTACCATTGAGCGCTTCATGTAGTCCGAACTTTAAAGTTTCGTTTTACCATTTTAATATTAGGCATACCAGAAAATTTTCACTTCGCTTTCAATTGAAATAAAAATCGTAATAATTTCATTCTGCCAGACAGAATGTGATCTTTATTTTAATTTTCTCAATTTATTTACTGTTTTGACTTCACTTTCAAGCCAAATCCTATTCAAAAAATCACATTTCCGTCTGCGGTTTCTGCTCTCGCTCTTAACAAAACAGATAAAATGTTGGCTGTTGCTGCTGGTTCAGTTGTACAGTTGTGGGACTTCTCCGCTCAAAAATTTCATGACTACGAATCAAGTCAAGGTTTGCATCTCCATTATAAAGTTACTACTGGTTTATTCATTGAGCAACACCCTCATACAGATGAAGAAGTGCTTTTGTCTGTCTCACTAGACAAACTCGTAAAGTTCACCAGTTTGCTGAATGGTAAAGAGTTATATCAGCTTCAATGTTCATCACCACTAACTGCTATTGGTGTCACGGTAATGTACCTTTTTGTCAATTGTGATTGTTTTTTACCCTTTCATTTACTGTCCTCACCCATGTATTCTCATTGAAATAACAGGCATGACAATGGTGTAATAGTTAATTTATTCATCTGATAATCCGAAAATTGATCTGTACCTATATTCAAACTAAAGGCTCTCTCCTACAAATTAAACTATATGGGTTCGTTCGCGAAAATACAGATTAATGGATCCACTTGCATCTTTTATACGTGTTTTTTTCGCTAGGCTTTTGTCTTATGAGAATATTAAGAGTTATCTAGTTTTTGGTTGTAAAAGGGAATGAATCTACCAATGAATTGCATTATTTATTTTTTCCCGTTTCATTTCACAAGAGAATTTCACTTTATCAACTGGTGTAGATGGAATTCACAATAGATCTTTTACTTCATATTATGTATTAGTTATTCATTTTCCAGCCTTTGGCTGTATAATTTATATTTATGCTACTTAAAAGCAATCTACTGAGTGCTGTTTATTGTATTTCCTCGAATAAAGCTTTGTCACTTTAAAATTTTTAGCAGGTTAAATAACTCATCTGTCTTTTTCTATTATTACAATATTGTAGCCAAAGTGTGAAAGTCTCGTAATAGGAGGAGAACATGGCTTCGTTAAAATCAAACACTATGACTCGAAATTAAGCTCGTTCGTCGTAGCTTCATCTGAGGCGCAAAACAAAGCTTCTTCTAGTGACACAGAGGATCCGTACATGGATTTATTGTCTCATTTTTCAAAGCCAAATAAAGGTGATCGCTTTATGTCAATGAAAATGGATGAATGGCTGGAAGTACCGTTAACTGGTTCTCGCCGTGCTCCCAAGGATTGGTTTTTACCTGAAGAATTTAAAACAACTATAAGGCCTAATGTTCCTTTAATTCATGAAGTAAGCTCTTACTGCTATCATTCCACTTAAAGTTTCGAAATTGGTTTCTCAAGTTTTCAGTTCTAGGTCTTAAATTTAGCTGGTAGTATATTTCGAATTCAAAATTTCTTAATATATTTTTAGAAACCTGTTATCATAATGATTCATTGATTACCACAAGTTCTATTTGAGAATATTGTGATCAAATCATTGAGGTAGTGTATTTAGTTATTAATACAGACGCGATTAAAGTAAATGGAAGAGTTGAAGTAAAAGAAATAAAAAAATCAAGTGAATATTCAGGAAAAATCTGTGTTGGAGAACTTGTTGTTGGTATTCTTTGCATGACATATCTTGAAGGTCCATATGCTTGATAAATCGTAAATACCGTTTCTATGAACATATTCTTCACAAATAGTAATCCTATCGGCGTTTGGGCTGGGATGATAACCGATTTCGTAAATCGGAGCAACAGGTGTTCTTGGGAGCTCACTTTCCTTGTTTTTGATCTAGACGTCTGGTCCACAAAGCAATAGAACTGTCCCATGGTAATCAGTAACCAAAAATAGGTTCATACTCTCTTTTTCCCTGCAGGACCTTTTTCGATTGTATAGTTAACTGAATTCCATCTGCAACTAATACAACACTTGTTTATTTTACTTATTCTCCTCGTTTAGATATACTTCTTTTTTGTGCTTTATAATAGTGCTTCTTTATTCTGTCTGATGCATTCTATTTCTGGTGCCTAGTTGTCTATTAAACAAATTAAAACAAGATAAATTGTTTGCTCTGTCCTATAATGTTTATCATTAACTGTAGGATGTTTATATCGTTAAACTGTATTTCTTGTTACTAGGATTTGATTTATAAATAGCCTTTGAACTTTTAAAGACTTTCTACTAACTCTTCTTTCTTGTTTATATTAATAACAGAAAACGGAAATATCACGCACTGGTCGGACGTTTTACGCTCAAACATTGTCACAGACATATAATCATGTCGACGTTCTGCTTAGACGATTCAATCACTCGCGTGCGTTGACGTTAGCCTTAACCTACCGATCATGGGTGCGTCGCTCCAAAAGAAGAATCAATCCTACCCCTCAGTATTGTTTAAACTTGGCACTTGCTGTTATACGAGAATTAATAAGAAGAGATACTTTAGGTGCTGCTGTAGCAGGCAGAGACAATCGCCAGCTAGAATACATTTTTATATTTATTTACAACAACATTTGGCATAAAGATGCAGCTGCTGTTTGCTTAGAATTATATCACTGCATATTAAGTAAGTTTTCTTTCTAAGACTACATTTTAATAGTCTATATTAACATTAGTTTTTATAATCTCTATTGTATTTTTGGAAGAAATTATTGTTTCAGAGATTATAAACTAACACAAACAAAAATAAAATCTTCAACAAACTTGGTTACTTAAATTTTCCGATTTTAATAATTTGATCAATTGAAAAATAAGCGTACTTTTCGGTCTCATAAATTTCCCACTACTGTGCTAATAATTGTTTCTCATTAGATATTTATTACATTTCGTATAAAATGAACTTATTCGAATACGTTCTATTTACTATTTTGGAGATTTTTGAAGTAATGACTAATTAAGTATAACAAAAAGTGTTGTGAATACGTGTTATAAAATAGTCAGCGAGTTGTTTTTATTGGCGAATATATCCATAATTATACTCTGGGGTAGTTGTAACATGTCTACTGTATACAGCACTGATAAAATATAAGTAAGGTTGACAGGAATGATACATATTAGCAGGTACAGTTTAGTTAGAAATGCCTATTTCATTTAAGCGTGACCTCGCCTATATAGAATGGAAAATAAAACTGAGACAATATACAGTTAAAAGTAGTAGTTATTGATTATACACGTATATTGATTGAATAGATCGAATTTTGAAGTTGTCAAATCCGAATACATGTGTTAATTTTTAATCCGGTTGTCACCGACTTGGCGATTTAGATTTATGACTATTGTAAATTCCCAATTGCTAGTTACTGACTAAAGTTAAATAGGCTATCAAAATGTTAATTTTAACTAGTTTGTAATAATAAATACTGATGAAATAGCGATTATTCTTAACAGGTCAGTATGCGTTGTCATTATTTGAATGCTCTATTATTAGATCTCAAACATCTTAGTTAGTTAGTTAGCAAATACCGTATAAGTTTTAAGCTCCAGTTAACGCTATTGTATGCGCTTAATAGCCATGTGCTTTAAATTTTACATTCCCATTGTTTGTATTTTTTCTAACAGATACGTATACTGCTGAAGAACTGGTGAATATACGAGGATTCGCGAAAGTGAATAGACTTCTTGAGCTTATATCTTCAAACTTCTATTCTCTAAGCAGAATCACAGACACCATTGCATATAAATCCCACAATTTACCTCAATCTAAAAATGAGCAAGTTGTAGAAGACATTTCTTATTGTTCCTCATTTAATTCAGAAAATTCACCAGAATGCCAAAAATCATCTTCAACTAAAAAGCGTAGAAAACTTAATGTTACTTAGTTACGATTATCCTGTACAGTGAAAATAAATTTTTTTTATAACATTCTTGTTTGTAATTAACAGGGGAGTTTCCAGGTAATACAGCCTTGTTAATATTTGCAAAAGAGAATTTCCAAACGCAGATAAAAAGTTATCACAAAATTTAATCATAATCGCTCTAAAAATTCCGATTACCATTTAAATATTCAAAACCATGCGGTTCAAGTGAAACATGATACCTCGAAACTCACACCCTTGATTATAATCTTTAAGAACATCTAGATTTTTTATGAATACTCGTCCATACACAATTTCGCAGTGTAGTCCATCATAAGAATTCTGTAAAATGTTGACCATCTTCTCAGGCACGCTTTAGAGCGAAAGAAGCCTCCATACTATTGTCCTGTTCACGCTGTCGAAAGCTTTCTCTTATTGAAGTTGTAAATTGGTGAATTCCATTCAGGTGTTTGTTCCACAATCATTCGAAACGTAGCGGTCTGGTCGGTATATAATCGATCCTGACAAAATCCAGCCTTATGATCTCGCGACTCCACCTGTAGACAAGAAAAAATGATTCAAACCATGTATACCCTGCTCTGGGAGTTAGAAGGTCTTCATTTAGAAGAGTTATGGCGTCTCATGATGAAAGCTGAGTTCCTTTCGAAGTCACGAGGCCGATGCCTCTTCTGACAATCAGAATCCTTCCACGGTGTGGGCAACCGGGAAGTAACGTCCGCCCTCATACCCATGAAAGCACACGAGACCGAATTGGTCATAATCAAATCCTTTCTACACCTTATAACTCTCTTATCTCACCAACCAACCTTTCTTTCGATCGTTTGTCACCTCGCGCCGCTGAAGCTAACGGTTTGCGCTTCCCGTGGCTTCGCCGGCGTAGGTATAGTATTAACCCCTAGGGCCGAACAAGCTCTCTTAGACTGGATCCCGATAGTCGCTTATGCGCTTTCCAACTAAACGGGATAGTACGGACTCGCAAAGATAGGGAAACTCTTCGTCGTATCTGCCTACGCTCCCACTGACTGCTGTTCAAAAGACATGAAAGTTAAGTTTTATAGAAACTTCTCCAAAATGTTAAGCGCTCTGATACAGTAATAATGGCTGGTGAATTTAACGTTCAAGTAGGTAGACTCAGCGAAAAGGAAAGACACCTGGGTGGATGGTATGGTGTCGCGGCTAACAGAACAGATAATGGCGACTGTCTGTTGCAACTGTGCTCAGATAGCCGCCTATTTCTAGCAAACGAAACGGGTACTAGGTAAGAATGGCAGATCAATCGATGAAGTGGTGAAACTTCATCGGTTGAGGTGGTTGGGACACGTGTTGCGTATGCCTAACCACCGACTGCCTCGTCGAGCTTTGTTTTGTGGTGCAGGAATAGGTTGGAAGAAAGCTAGGGGCGGTCAAACCAAAACATGGCATAAATCCATGAAGTTATTGACGAGTGGACTTAGCCATGTCGGTAATTGTCGACTACCTGGTTGGGGTCCGCGAGATGATAATAATCGATGGTTAGAGACCTTGAATGACATGGCTCAAAATCGTTCGCAATGGCGCCAGTGCATTTATTCTTTGTGTTCTCTCAAATCCTAATCTTCTGAGTTCTTCAACACCTCTAGCTTTTACTTTCTAAACTTATCTCATTGAATCACACTTCGTGAATAATATCTTCTAATTCTAACGTCTACGATTACTTCTAATACCTTTACTACCTCTTCTACTATTGGATTTGAATTGACAATTATATCTCTGTGCTGATGTGGTATGGCGACATGAACTGATGTACTTACGTACGAAGTTCTACGTTGCAACTGACTGACTGATTTCTAGCAAACACAAACTTTAAGCACAAGGTAAAACACCTTTTGACCTGGTTACCCCCAAAGACGACCCAACTAGATTACATCGCTATAAGCCGTCGGTGGAGAGGCTCTATTGAAGACTGCCGCTCAATCTGGAGCACCTGTTTAGACTCAGACCGTGCTCTAATGCTAGCGCGTATTTGGTTGCGTCTTACTGGACGTAGGAAAAATGTCGCAAGGAAACTTGTTAGGGCTTTGCTTAATGGTAATAAAGTTAAGAATATATTTCAGGAACAACTAGGAAAACAGTTAGGCGGCCATTTAGTGAGTGATTCTCACCCTGAGGCAGCTTATGAATGATATCAAAAAGCTGTGGAAACAGTAGTGATACCTGCTAGTAAGGGCAACCATAAGGTTAGTGAGAAGCTGTGGATCTCAATAGCATCTACTGAACTGATGGATGCTCGAGAACTTATCCCTCCTGGCATTGAACGTGTTGAAGAGCAAAGTCAGCTTAAGCGCAGGCTGATAAACATACACAATGATCGTGAACACTGGTGGGTAGCGAGAGCGATGGAAAAAAATGAAGCGGCGATTGGTGTAGGTAAACAACTGTTGAGACTTATAAAGGAAACTGGTATTAGGAATCCGACTGCAAGTGAAACTACCTCGGAAAAGGATGGCTGTATCATTCATTCTCAATCAATCCCACATGGCTCTGAACATGATGAACAACGAAGTCAGCTTAGGCGCAGACTGATAAAAAGCCTACGAAACGACCGTGAACAGTGGTGGGTGGCGAAAGCAAAAGATATGGAGAAGGCAGCGACGATCGGCAACACTAGACAACTTTTCCGACTTATCAAGGAAACTGGTATTAGGAATCCGACTGCAAGTGAAACTATCTCGGAAAAGGATGGCTGTATCATTCATTCTCAATCAAGAAGATTGGATCGTTGGGCAGAACACTTCAGGGATCAGTTCAACTGGCCTTCAGCCACACTTCAGTTGCACACGATCTCCAGTCATCATGAACGGCAAATCAACATAAGTCCTCCGACTCTTTATGAAGTTGAAAAAGCTATGAGAAATCTGGTGCAGGAGAGAGAGGCGGGTCCTGATGGATTGACGCCTGAGGATTTTAAGGATGGTGGTCCAGTTTAAGCAGCTAGATTGACTGACATCTTAGGTAGAATCTGGGAACTGGACATAATCCCATCCGACTGGTCTCAGTTACTGATTGTCCCAATTTATAAGAAAGGATAAAAGTCTTCTTGTGACAATCACAGGGGAATAAGCCTAACTAATATAGTTTCTAAATTGTTAGCCTCGATAATCCACTCTCTGCATTTTTGTTTAACTTTGTCGTAGACATCGTTTTAGAGTTAACATTAAGCTTGTCAGACTTTTCAGGGGTGGACCTTCTACCATGAGGATCGCTTATTGACCTAGAATATGCCGATTACATAGTTCTATTCGGTGAAGACGCTGACAAAATGCAGAGTCTTCTGAATACCGTAGGCAACAATGCAAGCATGTTCGGGATGCGGTTCTCACACTCGAAATGCAAAATGTTGCTTCAAGACTTGGTTGCATCGGCACCTGAACTGGTGATAGAGAGTGAAGTAGTCGAGCGTGTCGACCTCCTTACTTATCTCGGGAGTCCCATCAGTGCTGATGACCTGGTGACTGACGAAATCTCAGCACGGATACAGAAAGCTCTATTGGCTTTAGCCAATTTACGTCATTTATGGCAAAAGACAGACAGACAGATGCAACGCAGAAATTCGTACGTAAGTACATCAGTTCAGGTTGCCATGCCCCATCAGCACAGAGACGCAACTGTCAGTTCAAATCCAATAGTGATAGCAATAATAGAAATATTAGCAGTAACGGAGAAGATTAGAGGGCGAAGATATGATTGGAGAAGTATAATTCAGTAAGATAAATTTAGAAGGATAAAGATAGAGATTATGAGGAATGTGGAAGCTTAGAAGCTCTCTACTCGAACACTACAGGTCGAGTTAGAGCTCATGGCGAACTGTTATCGAATTTCTTACTTCGAATGGTGTCCGTCAGTGATGTCTACTCTCTCCATTCTTGTTCAATTTTGTCATAGACATGCTCCTAGATATAACACCATCTTCGTCTGAATATTCAGGAGTACACCTTTTACCAGGAGGCTCGCTTATCGACTTAGAATACGCCGATGACATAGTTCTATTCGGTGAAGACGCTGAAAAAATACAGTCTTCTGACTAACCTGAGCGACAATGCAAGCATGTTCGGGATGTGGTTTTCCCCCACGAAATGCAAAATGTTGCTTCAAGATTGGGTCGCATCGGCACCTGAACTAGTGATAGGGAGTGAAGTAGTCGAACGTGTAGATCGCTTCACTTATCTGGGGAGTTAGTTAGCGATCTTGAGCGAAACTTCCCAATCCAAATTTAAACTGTCGTAGGTTAATAATGAATTGGTGCTTAGGTGTGGTTATTTAAAATCACACTGATTTATTCTCATAAATTATCAATAATCAAATGCGCAATCATTTCTATATTCTGTCTTTTTAATAATTAACACCAACGCAGAATGGATATTTAATTGTAGCTTTAAATATCACTGTAACTCTCGATGTATTCTTTTTGACTAATCACAACATTTGAGCGCCGAGCACCAAGGAATATTATAATAATGAGTTGATGTCGCAAAGCCGAATATTGAAAAAGTTAGTTGTTTTCACTTTACTTTTTCCATAAAAAGTGGATTTTTCTAAAATCTATGATGAAATGAAATTTGATATCGACTCGCATTCGTCATTTAACTGATCGCAAAAAGGATTTCGGATTTAAAAGAAACTCGGTTTGCTTGAAGAGCGTGTACACAATTTTCTTACTTATAAACCGCTCAAGGACACAAGACTCAACCCACCCTGAATAATATACGAGCTGATGTAGATATATTTAGCAATGGAAATAAATTGCATTTATATATTAGTATACTTTATACGCTGAATGGGCGTTGCGGGAACTTTCGTCTTCGAATAAATTATGGGCTAATCTCATTCAGACCATCACTGAACACCAGGATGCTGTATCAGAAAGAAGATTAAGGTGATGACAACTCCTAGAAATAACTTATGGATTACCGTATTTGTATTCTTATTGTATAACAACTGAGTAACTATATATATATTTATATTCCTTTTACCATAAGTTTCGTTTTACTACTTATGTACGGTTTAC